GGACACAGACACTGTCCCACACCCCGCTGAGGGGAGTGGATGGTCCCCTTTTGATGGCTTAGGAGGTAACCGTCATCCTTTTTCCTCACCACCTCCACTGGCTTCAGTGCAGCTCCTCCTGATTTACACCCCTGACTATCACAGCAGACTCCAGCCCTATGTCCCCAAAAACCATTTTCACCTGAGGCACCCATATAATAGTCTCGGCCAGACACTATAGCTGGGTTACTGGCGTCTCAGGAAGGCTTCTTTATAGACCATCATTTACACTGATTTTATTTATTTTTACCTATATGCTTCATTCTGCCACCCCAACCCTTTCATTCTCTGACAAAAGCTAAATGTCAAGCCCTAACACACTGAATGCCCCTTTAAAAAGCTGGATTTCAGTCCACAGATATATCAGCATAAGAAGGCTTCCTGGTGTTAATTTTTAAGCACTGGTGTTTCATGCTGACTTGGGAAATCATCCTTCGTTTTTGGCATCAGGAAGAGGATTGGGAAAGTGACATTAACGAATCTACTTTCTTTGAAGGACCTGGGAGTCATTTCTTGACTTCTGCCTAATGAATAAGTGCTGCCTTCGTTAAATTTATATTTATGGCCACATAGTAGGTCATTGGCTTGTTTTATGTCTCCAGGTTTATGGAAGGTTATCTGCCATGGTCACCTTGTGGCATCTTGGCCAGGATCGTCTTGCAAAGAGACAATTGTATCTGAGCAGAATTTTTCCCCTGAAGATATGGAAATTATCAAATTAATATAGAGGCAATGTCCAGGGGTAAGGCTCTTGCCCTGAGCTGCCAAATGAAGTTACTATTACTATCACAGTACACCTTTAGCTTGCCCTGGCAAGTCCAGATCCTCAGCTTCTGTAAAGCAGCAAGGATACATGGACTTTAGTGGGGCTGACATGATTGACAGTAGTCCTCTGGCCTCTCAGGAGCCTCTCTGCTTCTTTCGCTTCACCAGTTGATCCTCAGTGTGTAGATCACATCATGTTTAATCTGTTAAATGTCTGTATGCTGGGTGTAAGTTCTTTATGAGTCTGGCCACAAGGAAATCTATTTCAAGTGTTATCTATGGGCACATTTGCACAGTCAGTCACCAGCACATCTAAGGACTTTTGATGATGCTGCTATTTATAGACATGCTAGTTCTGGTCTAAGAGCCCACTTAAGGTTCTTTTTGTGCACACCCTATTAAGTTATGTGTATCTTATGGAGGAATAAAGCAACCTTCCCTCATGGTCTCCTTGTGCTGAAACACAGAAGTTATCCATGTCTCTCCATCATTTTGAATTTTAGCATGTGATGTGCTCTAGACTACAGTCACACATAACCCCTGGAGCAGGTTGGCTCTGGGTTGCGAGCCTCTCATACATCTGAGCCCTTGCTGAACTTCTCATAGGTCATTAGTATGTAGGAGGGCTGTGACTTTACTGAACACAACATGGCCACAGGCTCCTCAAATGTCTAATCTGTGCCTTGGGATTTCTGGATCGATACCAGCTGTTGGCTTCATGCACACTACAGCTGGGAGCACAGGCAGTTATGTCCTTTGCTAGTTCTAATTCCTCTGGGAGAGTTAGAAGCAGCATGAAGATATGCTCACGGCTGCCTCCATGGTACCTTGGCTCCGTGCCGGAGGACCCAGCCAGCCCTGGAGTCTGTGTCCCTGTATCTCCATAACCCATGTTGATCAGTATGGGCACATCCACTGCACTGAATTTACATCTTCATTTGCTGAGTAAACACACTCTTTGAGCTAAGGAAGAAGAGTTCTTCAGTGAGCTGAAGTCTTCATTTTTTGTTTTTAAGACCTACTAAGTTAAATTCCTGCATGTGGTGACTGACCAAACAGCCAAGGTAAAGTGTGAAACTACAAATATAACACAGAGCCCCAAGCCAGGGATTGCCGCCTCCCCATTTTGTCTCATCTTACAGCCCAGTGATGCTTTTGACTGTCCCCTTTTCAAGAGCATCCAGGGATGGCTGGGTCAGTGTTACAGTCCTGTGGGTTAGACCAGTCATCTTACACCTTCTTTACCTATGAGTAAATGATTCCCAGCTTGAAGCAAAGCTGATTGAAACCAGGGGAGAGTCTTCCTGCTGGCTTGCATGTGCTGTGAGCCAGGAGGAAATTACCTGCATGATCTGAGACACCAGGCAGCCTCCTGGTCCTCCTGAGAAAGAAACACTTGGTTAGATACTACCCTTGCTGACAAGTCATTAAGACTCAGAAAAATAATGAACTGTAAAAGCTTTGTGTGGGAGGGAAAAAGTCTGCATTTAAAGGGCAGTTGTCCCAAACCCTTTAAATAAAGCTTTTGTCCAGTTTTCATATTTAATCTTAAAGGTGAACTATGATTTTTAGTATATGTTTCCTAAGCAGGATGGCTTAGTTACAATAGGCAGAGCATGGCTCCAAAGGCAGCCGAGATATCTACAGATGGGATAAGGAGAGCAGCTCTGCAATGAAGCAGATGGTCCTGTTCAGGACATAAACCCAGCTACAGCTGGGAGGGGGGCGGCTCCCAAGTGTGTCCAGATAAGGCGAGAAGTAAAGGAAAGGACCACAGTCAGACAGGCGCTGCTCAATGACTTCTCCCTTATCAACAAAGAGGTGGTCATTGCTAATCGTCAGCATGTCAGAGAGACAACAAGCATACCTGAGTCCAGGCTCAGCTGGAGAGGAAGGAAATGCTGTGAGTCTATCTCCTGAGCAGTGGCGACAATTTCTTCCTCTAGCTTAAGTGTAGTAAAGGAGGGCAGCTGCCCTTAGGGCAGACACAGTAGATCATCTTCTTTAGTGCAGACCGCAAAACCACAGTTGTCTTACAAAGATTTGCTCCCTTTACTACATGTCCCCTCACCTTCCTCAGGAGATATCTTCTACCTGACAGGGCTTGGTCATTTTGGGGCATCCCGGTTATTATGAACCATTCTCCCAAAGGAGTGTGGGAACTGGTGTATCACTCAATCTTCCTTAGCCATTCAGTTTTCTTCTGGAGCAATGTGATCAGCATTTTGTTTTTAGAGGATAAGAGTTTTGAGCAGAGGTTAAAAAGAATAGACTTTAGCTGCTTCCTTCTTCAAGACAGCAGGAGTAAGTGGAAACAGTTTTTATGTTTCCCCAGCATTTTCTCCAGTTTACCAAATCATTGATTCTTTAAAAATATTGCTTTACATCTCTACTATGTTTTACACTGATCCCCCACAGGTTTTAATGTACTATTCTCACACTGGTTTTTAAGGGGTGAAAATCTTAACAGTAGGGCAGTGCTTTCTCATTTCATATACACACATATTGAGGGACCTGCCAAAAGTCAGATAGGAAATCAGCCAAATTCCAACCTAAGACTGAAATCCAAATTCTTTATTCCTGTGACTACTCCACCCTCAAAGTCCTTGTGATACAGCAATGCCCATAATGAACAAGAGCCTCCAAACCTTAGACAGCTAATTGGGTTTATCCCCTCAAAGCTTGGTCTTCTTACCATTTCTCCTTGTATTTTGGGAGATTAGCACAAGATCTTGCAAGCTTCCATCATGGTCAATGGTGATCTTTGAAGTTAATGTTCAAGCTGGTATTTGCATCTGTAAGAAAACACTTTGTCCCAATTCCTTGGGTCCTGTAACACTCACATTTGCCAGCTTCCCCCACACTTTGCCATACAATCAGTCTGTCCTTGGATAGGTCAACAGCACTGGATTTCCT